AGTCCCTGGCCTACCTGCAGTCCCTGGCCTACCTGCAGTCCCTGGCTTACCTGCAGTCCCTGGCTTACCTGCAGTCCCTGGCTCCAGGCTTCCCTCGGCATGCTGCTTCTCCTCTGGGTTCCCCAGGGTGGCTCTACAGCGACCCCAGGCGGCCACCTCGCGGAGCATTTCTGTCACGTTGTGTTGAGTGATCTCACCGGCCGCCTAGGGATAGAAGGGGAGTGGACAGACGTTGGGGCCAGGATGGCCGTGGGGGGCTTAGAACGCGGGGAGTCTTGGTCCAGGACTAGAACTCCTGGAGCGGCCTGGAGGATGTGAAGTGGGTCGGGACCTATCCGGCGGGGATGGAGCCTGTTCCCTGAATAGAGTCGTCCCCGCGAAGTGAAAGGCGGGGATCTGGAGCTAGGGGCAGAGCCTGATGTGGGGGGCCTGGTGTGGGGTCTGGCCTTTCACACCCGCCCACCCCCGCCCCACCACTACCCCCAGTCCCAGCCTCTCCGCTCACCTTGACCGGCTGTCCGTTGCTGGTCCGAAGGAGGCTCTCGTCGTCCGCTTCGATGCCGAAGGCCACAAAGGGCCCCGTGGCGATGTCCCCCCAATACCCGCGCGCTGCCACGCGCTCCCCGCGCTGGAAAAGGAGGGAGAGAGGAGGCAGGTGAGGTCGATGTTGGGGACCCTGACTCCTAGGTCTCCGAGAAGCAGCAGCGGGCCTGGACAGGCAGTGGACACGCACGTAGCTCAGGAGGCGACCAGACGCCAGAGTCCGGTTGGGCACGTGATAGGCGCTGGAGTCCCTGAGTTCAAAGGCGACGCCTGTGTCCCGCCAGCGTCGGAACTCCTGGGTGTGAATGACCTGGGCCTGGGGTGCGGGCGGGAAAAACGGAGCCCTCAATGAAAGAGCATGGAGAGACCGACACCTTCCTCCCTCGGACCCAGGAGTACAGACCCCAGTCCCTCCTCTCTCAGACCCAGGAGTCCAGACCCCCAGCGCCTCCTCCCTCAGACCCAGGAGTCCAGGCCCCCAGAGCCTCCTCCCTCAGACACAGGAGTACAGACCCCCAACCCCTCCTCCCTCAGACACAGAAGTCCAGGGCCCCAACCCCTCCTCCCTCAGACCCAGGAGTCCAGGGCCCCAGCGCCTCCTCCCTCAGACCCAGGAGTCCAGACCCCAGCCCCTCCCTCTCAGACCCAGGAGTCCAGCCCCCAGCCCCT